GTTCAAGCCCCACGACCAACTATATATATATAGAGAGAGAGAAAGAAAGAGAGAGAGAGAGAGAGAGCACTTACTTAGAAATACATACATTAAATATGGGGGTGATAACTATGGTCCAGAGACAAGACTGAGGCTAAAATCCATAAGAACCAAAACTGCCTTGAACTACAAATTATGAATAACTCAATCATATCAATTCATTTGTACAGCTGAAGTCTAATATAGCTAGAAAATAAAAAAAAAAAGCATGTACCTAGTTGCTGGTGGCTCACACCTATAATCCTAGCTATTCAGCAGACTGATCTGAGAATCATAGTTCAAAGCCAGCTCAAGCAGGAAAGTCTGAGACTCTTATCTCCAATTAACCACCAATAAGCCAGAAGCAGAGCTCTGTGCTAGCCTGAGTATACTAACCTGAGTGCTAGCTAGAGTGCTAGCCTTGAGCAAAAATGTCCAAGGATAGTGCTTAGGCCCTGAGTTTGAGCCCCAGGACTGGCACATAGACACAAAGCAAAGAACACAACTGTAATATAACCATACCAAGGACTCAGGTAATAGTCAAAAGAATATAATTTAGCTGAGCTTTATCTCTCTGACATGGAAAAATCTCTTAAGCCATACAAGCAAGTGCAAACAAGTGTAAACAAGCAAGCCAAACACAGATACATAACATTGTTACATTTAACATTTATGTAAGACAAAACTGTTATATAATTTTTTCTCTCTCTACCCATGCATAGACACATGCACATATTTCTCCATGTAATATATAAAGTTTTTTTAAGGTAACTGGAAAAATTACAAATAGTGCTATGGAAAAAAAGTCTGAACTATTCATAAAGTCTACAGTAAAGGTAGACGGAAATCCTCTGCACTCACAGTGTCAATCCCATAGAAATAAAACCAAAGCCCACATGAAAAGTTGTACCTAAGTGTTTTTAATCTATATTTGTAATATCCCAAACTGAAAGCAACCAAAGTGTCCTGTAACAGGGGAATGCACAAATAAACTAGTACATCCATACAACAGAATACCAATCAGCAGTAAGAATCAATGGATTAGCACTACTCTCAACAACTCGGCTGTGTCTCAAGGATATTATTCTGATTAGGAAAAAAGCTATTCTCAAGCTGGGCACTGATGGCTCATGCCTTTAATCCTAGCTACTCAGGATACTGAGATCTGAGGTTCATGGTTTGAATCCAACACAGGCAGGAAAGTCCATGAGACACTTATCTCCACTAAAAACTACCCAAAAAGCCAAAAAGGGAGTTGTAGTTCAAGTGTCGGAACGCTACACTTGAGCACAAAAGCTCACAGACAGTGTCCAGGCCCAAAGTTCAAGCCCCAGGATGAGTTAAAAAAAAAAAGTCGCCAGGTGCCTGTGGCTCACACCTGTAATCCTAGCTACTCAGAAGGCTGAGATCTGAGGATCACCGTTCAAAGCCAGCCCATGCAGGAAACTGTGAGACTCTTGTCTCCAATAAACCACTAGAAAACTGGAAGTGGTGCTGTGGCTCAAGAGGTAGAGTGCTCACCTTGAGCTGAAGAGCGCAGGGACAGCACCCAAGCCCAGAGTTCAAGCCCCACAACCGACAAAAAAAAAAAAGTCATATAATGGATGATTCAATTTATGCAACATTTTTTATATGACAAAATTAGAGAGATGGAGAACACATTTGTGGTTGCCAGAGGTCAGGCTGGTAAGAGGGAAGAAAGTGTGACTAGGTGTGACTAGGAAGGCTAGCCTAAGGAAGGAGATATATGTGATAGTGGAGTAGGTACTATGTGTACAGATCTACAAATATGCAAACCTCTGATCATATGGCCTATATCTGTGATAAAATGGCCTAGAATTATGCACACTTTGTACAAACTTCAATTTTCTAGTTGTCATATTGTACTTTAGATAAAAATATAATCACTGGGAAAAACTGGCTGGACACACAGGATCTCTGTATTATTTTTGCCACCTCTTGCAAATCTATACTTACCTTAAAATAAAGTTTTTAAAAAAAGATATGAGCAAAAACAGCTCTTAAAAATTACAATTATGATGGCAGAAAATTGAAACAATAAATGGATTAGAAAACAAAGCCAAAGACAGCAAAAAGACAATGAAAAATAAAAGGTAATATTGAAGAAAATAAGAGAACAAGTTATATAGATGTATAAATAAGGAGCTTAAAGAACTGGGAATGTAGCTTAAATGGGAAATTGGCACTTGCCTAGTAAGGGCAACGTCCTAAGTTCAAACCCCATTACAACCAAAAACAAACAAAAAACAGTGGATGAAGAAAATGGGAGGAGGAAAATCAACAACTAAGTAACTCCAGAAAATTTTACAGACTAAAGATCCAGTTTCTGGTATCCACTGATTATACCAAGGAATACTTTTGTGAAATATGCTAACAATGAGAATAAAAATATTCTATAAGCTTCCTTGATTCTACCAGTCACAATGCAACAGGAGGGCTTTGGACTTCTCCATAACAACACTGGCTACTACAAAACCACAGAGCGACGGTTCCAAGATGCTGATGATTTACAACCAAAAATTGCACACTGGGCCAAACTTGCAGGCAAAAAATAATGTGAAGGTGGACTAGCATTTTAAGCATATATTTTTAAAAATACTTCTTATGAGCTATTTCCCAAGAAATTATGCTCCACTTAAACATAGACTAAACCAAGCATCTCTCTGTCTAGAACACAATGCATAACCAAACACACAAGGGTATCATTTCTTGTCCTATATTTCTGGCAGTTCTTTATCCTCTTTTGCACATATTCTCAATCTCATTAAATAGTCCAAATAGGAAACATAATCCATCACAGTCATCTCTCAAAGCTAATAATAGTCTTGCTTCACACCCCAAATATTTCTTCTCAAGTCTGTTCCTGGTTCCATGATCTTGGTGTCAAAGTAATCACCTAACTAATCTCCCAATCTCTAACCCCAGCTTTCCCAAATCCATCCACCACAATCTGGCTCCAATTATACCTAAAATGCAAATCTAGAACTGTTCTCTCCTTCACTTAAACTCTTCAAAATTGTCTTGAACTCTAGCAGAGCATGGTGGCACACACATGTAATCCCAACTACTTGGAAGGCAGGAGGATCTGGAGTTTGATACTAGCTGGGAAAAGTCAGTAAGTCATCAAAAAGAGGATAGGGGCTTGGAATATGGCTCAACTGAAGTGGCTAACCAAGTGTCTAGCAAGTGTGAGGTCTTGAGTTCCTAGTACCAAAATAAAACCTTCCTGGGGCTGGGAAGGTGGCTCAGTGGTAGAGCGCTTGCCTTGCATGCATGAGGCCCTGGGTTTGATTCCTCAGCACCATATAAACAAAAAGAAAAAAGCTGGAAGTGGCGCTGTGGCTCAAGTGGTAGAGCGCTAGCCTTAAGCTGAAGAGCTGAGGGACAGCGCCCAGGCCCAGAGTTCAGGCCCCATTACTGGACCCAAAATAAATAAATAACCTTCCTGAATATTTGGGGGGGCGGGTTGAACTCAGGGACTCATGCTAGGGTAGTGCTCTACCACCAAGCCACATCTCTGGCTCTCTTTGGCACAGGTGATTTTTGAGGTTTAGTCACTTTACACCTATCTATCCAACTCTCATAAATCTTTAACATCATTTTACTTAACAATCCAAAATTGTATTTATAAGACACAATGAATTACACATACAAAATGTGGAATGATTAAAACTAATTAAGATTCCATCAACCCACTTTTTATGGTAAAGAATTTGAAATGTACTCGGATGTTCTGGAATATACAAAATATTAACTGGAGCCATCCTGTTGTACAATAGATCTAAGAATTTTAGTTGTCCAAGCACCCAGCACAGTGGATGATGCCTGCAATCCCAACTGCTTGGAAGGTTTAGGTTGTAGGATTGTAGTCCAAGCCCTGTTGTGGGATAGTAGTCCAAATGTGAGACATGACTTGAAAAATAACTAAAACAGTGTTGGATATGTGGTTCAGAGGGTAGAATGCTAGCCCTAAGCACCGGATCCTCTCCAAAAACATTTAGTCGTAACAGAAACTTTGTCCCCTTTGACTGACATCTTCTTATTGCTTCCCTCTGCCATCCCAGCATCACGTGCCTATCATTCGATCCTCTATGTCTATGAACTGGACTTCAAGTGAGATGATGGGAGTGTTTAGGCCTTGCTAATCGATCACGGTGCTTTCCTGCCCAGGCAACCCTCGGTCTTACAACTTTCTCAACAAAGCATCCAACAGGAAATGGGGCAGGTACAGCTGATGATGTTTGGTACAAAAAGCTAAGTTCTCTCGCAACTTTTCTTTCTCAGTTGGGAAGTCTGCAGCGTTCGCACATCTTAGCTCCAGCTCTTCTGAGTTGCTTGTGCACCTGACTAATGCACGGCCTTGCCATGTCCAGGAGCCTTCTCTCACGCTCTGAGTAGGGTCCTAGGTTTCCCTAGCACTACTGTATTCAAACCCTACTTGGAAGTCTCCCTCACTAGGCTGAACTTCCCACAGGGTGGAGGGCTTTGCAGGGGGCTACGGGTGAGGAGATCTGTTAAGAGGTCCCATGGAAAGTCACTAACTCTAGCGTCCCATTTTACCCCCTTTCCAATTCGCTTGGTCTACTTGTTCTTCTCTTCCTGGATCTCCCCACCCTCAAAACTGACAGCTCCCTTTTTCCTTTCCATTGGTGTTCAGAGGTTCCTTTTGGTTTTTGTTTCTCAACTGTCACTGCTCCACTGTGAAGCTCCTTCCCAGCGACAAAACCGGCTTCGGGTCCGTCGCTGAGGAAAGCCGGCCGGCCACCGGCGGAGGCGGGACGCGGAGCTGCCCGGAGCCCCGGCCGGGCCCGACCCGGGCCCTGCCTCGGACCCCTCCCCACGCCGGCCACTTCCCGCCTTCCGGGTGGCGGAAGTTGCTGGCGGCTCGTCCCTGCCCACGTGGCGCCTGTTCCGGTGCGCCCGCTCCCCCTCCACCTCTCGGGTCCGGACCTGGCCCTCACCTCAGGATTCCCAATGTGCCTCCGGACAGACATATTTGCTCCAACCGACCACGCTCGGGTTTCTAGCCTCACGAGTTGCCTCTAACCCTAGCTTCCTAGCCACCACAATCCAGCTCAACCGCCTCCTTATGATCTCTTTTCCGATTGGCCAGTTCTCTCTAGCCAGCCAATGGGGAGCTCGTTTACTGTCTTAGCGCAGGGTTCGAGGAGAACGAGACGCCGGTCAATGGTTACCAAGGGCAATGCGGGACGCCGGCTAGCTCTGCCTTTTGTGCTCCGGGCCTGGGCGGCTGGCTCCAGCCTCAGCGCGGGAAGAGGAGAGGGCGGCGGGGTGGGAGTGGGGGGGCTTGCGCCTGCGCAGAACTCAGGGAAGGGGGGGAAGGGCTGGGAGGACAAATAACCAAGGTAATAGCACAAATACTGCATAGGTAACCCTTCCCCTCCCTCAATCTCCATTTAAGGCCATTCTAGTCAAACACCAGAGCTACCTTTTTCACAATAGAGGATACAATATGGGCCACGGTTGTTCAGCAGCAATGAGAATATATAGTTTCTTATTTTCAGGTTAAGTTATTATGCAAATTATGCAAACTAGCATGTGTAAATACAGTAATTATTGTTGCTTTAAAAGCTTTTAGTCTAGCTAAACCACGGCAGCCTTAATTGCCAAGCACACACACCGTTCAGTGGTTCATCATTCATTTAACAAGTATTTAATAAGCACCTTATGAGAAAAGCTGCAGTGGATTTGTGGAGGATGGAAAGATGACTATAACCCAATCCCGTTGTCATGGAAACCATTGTGACTCCTGCCACCAGCCACCACCTGTTCTCATTCCAGATCTGAAAATTAAATCCTAGCACCTTTACAAAACAATTACACACACAGTTTGACTTGGCTCCTAAATGTCCCACCAAATCCATCAAAATTATATCCTTTTACAGGGAAGGAACAACACAGTAACCCTTTGTCCTTTGCTCTAAGTTGTTTTTCCAGGAATGGAGAAAGGTTACCCTGGGCTGTTCATATGCACTGCCTCTCTTGACTAATAGCATCCATCTGAGTTACTTCAGGGTCTGTACAGATGACCTATTCAATAACATGGTCTCTCACTCCCTAGGCCTTCAGCAACCCACCCAGTGCTGTTCTTAGCATAGCAAGCAGAAGCTTCTGAACACATTACTGTTTGGAATGTATGCTTATCTGCTATAGCTTGTGGATGGATGATCATAGAGATTGTGAATAAATAGGAGAGAGGTAAGAGACTAAACTATGAGGAGATTAGGAGAAGAAATAGAGATCTTAAGATATGCATAGGTAAATTAATAGTTACATACATGAGAAGAGATGAAGGGACAAGGAAGAGGAAAGCATCAAGGATGACTAATTTTTTTTTAACTTGGAGAATTGAGTCAATGGGTAACTGCATTCATCACGTTACAGACGGTCAAACAACAAAAGAACAGAAAGTGTAAAATACAATAGCCTATGCAACTTTCATTCTTTAATGATTTAGTTTACTTCTTTAATAGTTGTTCTTTTGTTCTAGAGAATGTCAATTGACCTCAGCAGTCAAAGTGGTTGTGAAATTTGGACTGTATAGCTGGGTAGCTCACACCTGTAACCCTAGCTACTCAGGAGGTTGAGATCCAAGGATTGCACTTCAAAGCCAGCCTGGGCAGGAAAATCCATTTAGACTCATCTCCAATTAACCACCTAAAAGCTGAAAGTGGAGCTGTGGCTCAAGTGGTAGAAAGCTAGCCTTGAGCAAAAGTACTCAGGACCAGCTCCAAAGCCTTTAGTTCATGCCCTTAGACCAACACACACACACAAATGGGGGCCATATGTAAAACATATGGAGAGATTATGGAAACATGGGTTCTTGAATCTGATGCTGACAGTACCTGGGGTGAAACAATTTAAACACACACCCTCCACTTGAAGTCTGATACAGGAGTGTCTAAGGGCCATACTCTAAAGACTGTTCCTGGAGAGCTACCCATAAAGGATACATAAGCATATAATAAACCTTTTCATCATGCCTCAGTAGAATTTTGGAAAGTTTAAAAATGTAAACCAAAAGGCTTTTGGCATCATAATCCTTTCTGAATCTAGCTGTGCCAAAACTAGATAAAAATTAAAGATATGTGCTTTCTCGATATGAAGCATAGGTAAATTGTACAAAAGGATCATCCATAGAAGGAAAACACTCAATAAACATGTATTTTATAGTAATGAACCACAAAACCGAATAGCTAAGCCCTATTTTTTCAACTAATAGATGGACAAGGGTTATTTTTCTCTCTTAATAATTCTATGTTGACTAATGACTCATGAAATAAAGTCCCTCACACACTACAGATGTGAAATAAAAGCATGTGATCATTTGAAGGGTCATTGAAGAGTGGATACTGAGGAGTCTTTAAATCTTAATAGTGTAAGAATTTCTTCTAGGGAAATAATCACAGTGCTGTACAAAGATTACGCCCACAAATGTTTACTAGAGTCTTTCTGAAAATAATGAAAACCTGAAACAGTTTAACTGGTCACCAAGTTAAAAAAATGAGGCCAGGCGCCGGTGGCTCATGCCTGTAATCCTAGCTACTCAGGAGGCTGAGATCTAAGGATCTGGGTTCAAAGCCAGCCCAGGCAGGAAAGTCCGTGAGACTCTTATCCCCAATAAACCACTCAGAAAACCGGAAGTGGTGCAGTGGCTCAAGTGGTAGATTGCTAGCCTTGAGCTGAAGAACTGAGGGACAGTTCCCAGACCCAGCATTCAAGCCCCATGACCAAAAAATATATATGATCTGTATCAATAAAGGTAATCTGATGGAACCATTAGAAAGTATGTGTCAAGGTATAATGAATGCAACAGAGCGAGAGCTACTCTTGCTATCATAAATGAAAAGGAGCATGGAATAACTTATTTAATATAATCCTGACTTGTATGAAGAAAAAAATACAGTGTCTATGGGGAAAAAGTAGAAAAATGTTTTAATGTAAATCATCTTTGGATTATAGAATATAGATATTTGTTTTATTTTTTGTACCTTTTATGCAGCTCACAGATTTTCTTTAGTAACTATGGATTTATTCTACACTTTAAAAATCATACTCTCCCTCTAAGAAACAAAAATCCCAATGCAGACTTCAGCCTGTCTATGGCTTTTGTCTGAGCTGATTTAGAGCAGAGCTGAATTCTGAGTAATTCCTCTATGTGAAGTGCTGCGGTTCTTGGCAGTAAAAGACTCTCCAGGCACTTGAGTAAGATCCTTGCAATCAGTCGTGATTGCTAAGAGGTTCAAGCTTTGTTTGTAAGAGAAGAAGTTCTGATTCTTTTCTTTAAAAGTTCCTACTTCCACTGATTAATCTTATTTTTCCTGAAGTTAGAAGTGCTCTTGTGAACTTCCATTTGTTTGATGTCTTCTTTTTAACCCTGTATGAGTTCCAAAAAGCTTTTAGTTTCTGCAGAATGGCGGGGGTGAGGGGACAAGGAGCCCCAGGTAGGTCAATGTGCCTGATGAAAGGCTAGTTTGTATTTTAGATGCTTCTGTGCCTGTACACTCTCCAGACTCACCTCCTCAGAATTAGATGGCATTTTGGTGCCAAGCAGACTCCCATCTTCAACCCCCACTGAATGCTCCTCCATCCTGAATCCCTCTGCTCATTTGGCCTCACAGACTCCATCCAATTAGCTCTCCATCTCTTCACCCTGGGGTGTCCAGCCTGGTTTCCTGATTAAAGCCTAGTCCCTGCCTAGCCCTCCTCTCCTCCCTTCCCCCCACCAAACCTGTCTTATGATGTTACTTCTTGGATAGAGTCCTGGGCTCTCTTCCTTGGCTTCATTTACCCTCATTTCCTAAATGACATACAATTCCAGATGTTGAAGGAAGCAATGCTGCCCAATCCAGTCCAGTCCTGGGACGCTTTCCTGGACTTTAAGAAATGGAACTGCGGCTGAAGCAGTGAATCTGTACCCTTTGATGAGGTACCTGGTTTGGTAGTGAAGGTTTTGATATCATTCTCCTGGTGGTAGGAAGCATCCAGAGGAAGAACTCATCTGCTGCTTGTTTGCCTCTGGCTTAGACTTTAGTTGAAGAGCTCAAACTGGGCTAATGACCTCCAGTGTCCCTTCAATCCCTCACAAGGGAGTAACAGCCACCTCATAGATTCAGCTTCTTCTTGGTGAAACAAAAAAATGTATATAATAGACAGTTTGCTATTCTGAGGGGGTTGATGGCTCAGAAGCCATCTAAGGCAAGTGCCTTAGCCCATTTTCAGTAGCAAAACAAAATACCTCAGACCTAGTCACTGACAAAGACTAAAGGTTTATTTAGAGCATGGCACTGGCATCTGTTTGGCAGCCGGTGAGAGCCCTCTTGCTGCATTCTGACCAGGTGGAAAGCATCACAAGACACAATATGCTTGCCAGAGAGAGCTCAATTTTACAACAAAGCCACTCTTCAAGATAACCAACCCATTCATCCATTAGCTCACGAATCCATGAATGAATTAGGTCACTCATGAGGACAGAGGCTTTGGAAGTCCTTTACCTACCAAAGAGCCTATCTCCCCATCTCCAGTTTTCATCAACATATGTATCTGAGGATTAAGTTTCCAACACATGAAATTTGGGCACACATTTAAACCATCACAGTGGCACACATGGAATGCCTGGTTCTGGTAGAAAAGATGTTTGGTGTCTTCTCCTGCAGGCAGGGCTCATCTCTTGTAAAGGGGAGGGTAGCTCTTTGGAGAAAACCATGCTGGATGATGCAGTTGTGCACATACTGCAGAACTGTGGGGAACCTGGGCATACTGAGAATACCTCCAGTAGCCCTTCCCACATCAAGCACAAGGCTGTGGCCCTGCCTGGTGCCCTGAAAGTAATGATGGCAAGATTCTGATTCAAAGTGGCTCAACTACTGGTTGGATTAATTTAACTCCCACAATAATAGCCTAACAGAAGAAAAAGCCTGGCCATTTCCAAGTGTAAACACAATTGATCTCAGTTTCAATTATATATAGAGTGCCTAGTATCCAATTTTGAATTAGGACCCCTCAAAAAGAAAGGAAACCAAGAAAGG